AGGGAAGAATGTAACACAGAGACAAGAAAAGAAAGAGCAGACAAGAGATACATAACGTAGAATCTGGAAAGACATTAAAGGTTTTTCAGATTTTAGCCTTTAGCCTACCTAGAAGTCGGGTAAGCACCAAAATGAGGAATCTACAGGCCAATTTGATGTAGTAAATTTCTCAGTTGAGATTCCCTCTTCTCAGGTATGTCTAGGTTCGTGTCAGTCATCTCGACAAACAACAATAAAAACAAACACAACTGGCCAGCAGGGACACAGAGGTTGTAAAGACACAGGTGACACTGAGGGAAGGAAGGAGTGGTGGCGATGATGTAATTCTATCACTAGACCCAAGATAAATGACAAATGAGTGTTTATTGGGGAACAATCACACAGAAAAATATGAAGACCCTCGGGAGCATCTCCCTGCCCTTCCTACTGGATCTGCCGACCCACCAGAAGGAGTCCCATTTCTGTCTGCCTGAGGCTATGCCCAAGGAGGCGTGGCAACCGTTACAAGTTCACTGACAAGATGCCTACACAGGAGTATTATGCTCCTCAGGTTTATAGCTAAGGTGACTATAGAGTGGTTTTCTCCGAAGAAAGTAGGAAACAAAATAAAAACGAAGGAAGAAGGGACTGAGAAGGAAAGGTGAGCGCAGCACTGCAAGATGGATGTAAAGTCCTGCTTGACAACTGGGAAGTAAGCAATTAGAGTATTTCAGAACACAGAAGGAGCAGACTGAACTCAGCAGGACATGGAGTAGATAAAGCCATGTGTTTCACGGTACTACCCAAAAGTGCACTGGTAAAACTATATTAAAGAAGAACAAAGATCAGAACAAAGCCCTGGAAGTCTCTATGTGGTAACACAGAATGGGCCAGGTTTCTCATAGCCATTTAAATCCCCTTCTGTCAAAAATAACTTGTGAAATTTCAGAAGCATCTTTCATCTATAAGTGTTTCAAAGTCCATAAACATGCACACAATTAAAACAAATCCCTTACTATTGGCACCATAGATTCTCAGCACAAATTATGGCAAAACATCACACATAAAGGCAAAGGGTGAGAGAATACTGTTCCTTATCAGGGATAACACAGTTCGGCTGGTGTACAGGATGCTAAGGGAGTGGCAAATCAAGAGAATTGAGGACAGTAAGGCTGCAAGACAGTGTCAAAACTATTCTCAAATGAAGGATAATATTTTATCAAAAGTTAAAATGTGAAGATTTGTGAATGTGTTGTTTTGAAACAAGGATATCTTCAATGTTCTTTTACTTTTTAAAAATATTTTTTTTCTTATCTATTTGTATTGGTGTTGCTTTGGCTGAGCACAAAGTGAAGTTACAGATACTCAAACACAGAAATGCTTACGATAAAACAGATATATGATGAACACGAATACCACACAGCTCAGCAGGCAGCCATAGGAGAAAAACAAGAGCTAGGAATTTAGAAAACAAAGCAGCAGACGTCACTAAACCAGGAAACACCATGACACAGTGTAGCTTTAGAAAGGCCAGGTATGACATGCAGACAGTAGTACAACGAGAACAACCGGAATGATCTGGGTGACAAGAAGGCCAACACTTAGGAGAGAAAGACAAAACAGAAAACCCCAGTATCTGAGAGCTAGAATGAGCAAGACTAGCAAGGAAAGAGACGAGGAAGGAGACAGACATGATGCCAAAGATCAGGCCCATAGTTTCAAGGAGCTCAGCACCCAGACAGGGTCAAGTTGTTGAGCTGCTATTACATTCTTCACCAAGAGTGTCCAGGATAATTCACAGACACAGGGTAACTAAATGTTATCTACAAAATAAAGAGCAACAAGCTATTACTGGTTAAAGATAAGGGCTCTGGCTTCAGAGGGACTTTGACTGCAACCCCAGCTCTGTTATCTCAGGCAGGTTAAACTCTCTGAGCTTTGGCTTTCAGCCTATAACACAAGTACAAGTAGAATAACATTAACCTAAAAGTTCAAAATCAAAATGCTCCAAGCTCTAAAACCTTTTTCAAGCCAACACGAGGCCACACCGTGGAAATTCCACACCTGACTTCAATCGATAGGAAGACCGTCAAATTACAGGAGACTTTGAGGCCAGCCTGGGTAACAAAGTAAGACAACGTACTGCCTAAAGCAAACTGTGCAAAACCATAGGCAGACTAAATATACTATAAAATCACTTCAAGTGTATAAAGAGTATATGAAATACAACTTGAGTGCCATGTCTAAGGGTATACATACATTCCAAATTTGTGTGTAGAAATACACAATATTCCAATTTGGGTATAGAAATATTCCAAAAATCATAGTAAAAAATAAGAAATTGGTTTAAGCATTTGGATAGACAGAATATACAATTTTCCACAGCACTTGACCGAAGTGTACAAAAGAGAAAATGACATAACACATCATAGTATTTAATTACTGCCCAGCACAAAGGAAGTAGCTAAACACTTATGGGCACTAAAGTCATTTTCACTGGGAAAGGAAAAGCCAATCACTGTAAACTGCTGCCTGGGAGCAAATCTGCTGCTACAGCCCAAGGGGCTAACACCTGCTAAATGGAGCACTCCAAACATGACCACACCTCTGCTAAACCATACAACTCACCTGGATCAAGTGAGGACCATTTCCCAGCAATCTGAAGACAGGGATTAAAAAACAAAGCACAACTAGGTTCGTAAGAACCTATCTAAAAACCAGAAACACAGAGGGCTGGGAATGTGGCTCAGCTGGAGAGCATTTTCTTAAAAGAGACACCCTGGATTTAAGCCCCAGCATTGCATAGAACAGGCAAAGTAGTAGCACGCACCTCTAATACAAGAATCTGGGTGGGAGTTAGAGACAGGACGAATGATTAGAAGTTCAAGGTCATCTTAGACAGGGATTATGCTAAAAGTTACACACACACACACACACACACACACACACACACACACACACAAACGTACGTTCTCCAAAATGTGCTGCTAACCTGTCAGGATAACAATATTCTGTTTTCTTGGCAGTAAGGTCTCCAACATGCTTTATCATACATATTGATATTTTGAAAAGTCAACAGTTATCCTAACATATAAAATACTGGAACACATTCTAGTATAATTGGTAATTATAGTGTTGAGATTGCATACTGTAAGAGTAAGTGATCTCATTTTGAGACTCCTGGGAAATCTGCAAGGCTAAAAAATCAGGCCTCGGATGACAAAGCACCCCTGTGGAGTCTAGCCTAAATGAGCCCAACAAAAAGCCCAGGATGTCCTATTTTTTTCTAGCCATAAGTACAATGACATAAAATCAAAGCAAGCTTTTGTGATTACCCAATTTTCTTTTTACCTTTATAAGTAACCACTCACTGTCCACATGCATGCCTAAAAGAAAATGACTAACATAACAACTAACTTGAAAAGCAGTTTAATCTTACTGTGTTTAACTGCTAAGAATTGTTAAGACTAATATTAAACAGTAAGTTTATCAGAAGATTCAAGTAACAGAACTGTTGAAACCTATGTTTATACAGGCAAAAAGAAACAGGATTGGTCATATGATCTTAGATGTCAGTATCCATCGCATAGACTTACTCGAGGTGTCTACCAAAATTGAAGTAGAGAGTCATGATCAAGGATTATGACAATGTACACATGACTCACTCATTTTCTCTTGTTACTCCTACCCTATGCTGGCAAACTGTGCTCAACCATAGAATCCGCAATTTTAATGAATAGCATATAATTAAAATGTAGTTTGTAAAAATCACTGTGGAAAATAAAAAACCCAAGGTGCTTACAGAACCCAGGTCATGTACTCCAAAGTCAAATATAAAAACATCTTGTCTACCACATAATTCAAAACACTCCTTCCCATAGTTAGAACATTACAACTTCTAAGGCAATAACCCATGATAATAAAGCCAAAAATGGTCTTATGTCCGGTTCTTTCGTGGGTCTATTTGCATAGCTTAATGAAAGGGCTCATCCACAAGAAACTTAGAACTACATGATTTTTGGACAGTTAAACAGCTGTCACACCCCTGTGCCAGGTAACAGTGTAGAAATCAGGAAAATCAAAATCCAAACTAAGCAGAGGTCTTTTAAGTCCATCCACTACGATTCTAGGGATGCATACTGTAAAGTCTTAGGTACTTTGTATCACAGGTGATACTTTCTGACTAGTGAATCGTATTTTATAATGCCTCCATGACTCAAAGATTCGAATTACAAGTCACTTGGTTTCAGTATGTACGCTGAAAGCTTTTTTGATACAACGCTGTTAGCGGAAAACTTGGCAATATGCTTAAGAAAGTAAAAAACAGACATGTCCTTTACATATAGTAGTAGCTGGCTTAGATTTTCAGTTCTTGGTTCAAATCCCTGGAAAATACTTAGTAACAAAATCAGCACCAACGCCATTTTCCCTGCCCCCCCCCCCGCGGACCAATATTCTAGGTAATAAAATGTATAAGAGTGAAATAATGATAGAATTTTGCTATCGGATGGTGTGAACTGAAAAATGTTAAGCATATCCCACTTTCACACAAGAGAAGTGATGTTCGGTGATACTTGGATTCGATCACCAAGTACGCGAGTAGCAACCACGGCATGCTATCCTTTCCAAATTTCTAAGTATTGTTACGAAAAGAATCGCACACTGCCGCACCAATCACTTAAACGCCAGGAGTGCACTAAGATCCGGCAGCTCTTCACCTAACAGTTCATCAGAGCCTGCAGCAGAAGTGACTTCTACTTAAAATGCACCTGAGGCATCAACCTCGGGGCCAGATTTCCGCCTGCTCTGTAAAGGCCCGAAAGGAGATCAAACACAGAAGACTTTAGCTCTGACATTCAACAAACTCCAAGCAGGGTGTGTCCAGGCGGCAACGCCGGGTGCGCTACAGGAGACGCTGCCTCCCGAGGCGGGCCCCCGGGGACAGAGAGCGTGCTCGGGGGCGGCAGGCACCATCACCATCGATCCCCGGCCGGGCCTCCCGGGCCTGCGCTGCTGCTTACCCTCCGCCCGCTCGCTGCAGCCGACCCGCTTCCCGGCGGAGCAGCCCGAAGCACTGCGTCCAGCAGCAGTTCCCCATCGCATGCCGCCCGCCCGGCGCCGCCGCTCCTCCTCCAGCCCCGAGCGCGAGCCCAGGCGGAGCAGCTGCATCCGCGCCGGCCGGAGCGCGGCAGGTGGCGGCACAGGGGAGCAAGGCCGCCGCTAGGCACACGGGTTCCGGGCTACCGCGGCGCGAGCGCAGGGCCTTGGAGTCCCGGCTCGCCAGCCGTCCGCATGGCCCGCCGGCTCGCCACCCGCCCGCGCCGGTCACCGCCCCGGCAGCCGCGGGAGGCCTTGCCGCCACGCCCCCTGCCTCTCCCGTGCTCCCATTGGACACGCTTCCGGAGGCCCGCTTCCGGCGGCCGGCGCATGCGTCACTTCCTCCGGCTTCCGGCTTGGCGGGCTCCGCCTGGTAGGCGGCGCTGTGGTTGTCTGTGCGAGCTCTTGTCTTGAACCGTGATCCTAGCCGGTGAATTGCCTTCTCTTCTGGCTTCTTCGTCGCTGTCGAGCAGGGAGGATCCCGCGGGGATCCTGGAGCGCAAGCTCAGCCTTCGAACTGTGTGCCTAAAGCGTGCGAGCCTCCCGCCTGCAGCGGCGGGTGGGAAGTGGCCAGCGAGTGCGTTCCCGGTACTGCCCCACACACAGCTGGAGGGAGAGGCGCAGGACTCATTGCCTTCACCTAGACGACACAGAGGTTTTTATTCTTCGGATGTTCTCATTGGCGTGGCGGTCTCTATACTGCCAGCATACTGGAGAGACATTAATGGTGCACCACTGGCCAGGTTTTGTATCAAAAAAAAAAAAAAAGACACGTTCCAGGCTGGGATGTAGCTCAGAGTTGAAGAGTGGTGGGAAATCTGCAATCCCAGCACCTGGGACGTGGAAGCAGAATCCTAAATTCAGGGTCATCCTCAGATACGCATTAAATTGGAGATCATCCTGGGTTGAGTCATGGCCTTAAAATAATAATAATAATAATAATAATAAGTTAAAGTAATTTCACGTGTAGGGGGGAGTTGAGAGCCAGGGGAAATAAGCAAAAGGGCTTGATTTTTTTTTTCTTTTTTTTTAAGGAGCATTAGCGGTTGCCAATTTAAACATACTGCCCCGAAGTGGAGCTAGGTTAAGGGAAAGTCCATTTCCTCAAATGCTGCTTTAAAACCCAATTTCCGCCGGACCGTGGTGGCGCATGCCTTTAATCCCAGCACTAGGGAGGCACAGTCAGGCAGATCTTTGTGAGTTCAAGACCAGCCTGATCTTCAAGGGCTAGTTCCAGGACAGTCTCCAAAGCCACAGAGAAAACCTGTCTAAAGCAAAACAATCTGGTTTCCGATGTCAGGTAGCCTTTAAAGCAGAAGGCAGGAGTACTGTTGAGTTAGAGGCCAGCCTAGTCTACATCACCAGTTCTGGCCAGCTAGGGCTATGTAATGAAACTCTGCCCCTGCCCCAATTGGATATAAGACATAATAGTTTCATAAATGCCCACTCCTGTGGGTAATATTGACAAGTAGATCCTACCATCTTAACCTGTTCTCGTGCCAATGAAAGAGTTACATTAAAAATAGTACTAATGATAAAACATTTTTTGAATTGGTCATATTGTTGGTTCTTGTCATTAAGACCCACCAGGATTCCAGTATACTTGACCCTTTTTGGTATCCAAGTAACAGACTCATGGCCCAGCGGATGCTGATAAAATGACTTAATGGTTTGAAACCTAAATTGTTACTGCATTTTCCTTCTTGCTTCCAGTATGTGAAGTCAATACTAATAAAGTAATCTTTGAAATTGAACTATAGATGTTTAAGGAAGCTGGTACCTGAGTCCTATGGATATTACCTATAAGGTTGACCATACCTCGAGAGCATGAGTCTGCAGAAAATTTTGCTAAACTAAAAACTAATTTTCAAAGCTTACATATTGCATAATTACACTTTCAGGAAATCCCCCCCCCCATACCCCTCTTCCCCCCCCAAAGACAGAGTGATAAAAATGCCACACACAGTAAAAGGTTCCTATTGTAATGAGAAGTGACCCACGGTAGGAAGTTTGCATTTTGGTTCCATAGTTATCACCAAGCCCTTATTCATGTTACACTGTAGTTTTATAAGACACTGCTGTTGAGGGAAAGTAGCTTAAGGCACACTGGTGATAATAAGAAATAATAATCTTTTTAAGATGGGGCGTGCCGTGGGCAAGATATGCCCATGGAGAGCAGAAAAGGACATTGGATTTCCATGAGCTGAAGTTACAGGGAGTTGTAAGTCACCAGAGGCAGGCGCTGGGAACCCAGCTTAGGTCCTCTTACTCATCTCTCCAGTCACATAAACTTCATGTGACACCATGATTGTTGCCAATTTTAAAAGCTTAGGAAATGGGCAGGATATGGAGAAATGGGCGGGGCATGGTGGCACATGCCTTTATTAACCCTAACACTTGGGAGGCAGAACCAGATACTTAACTAGGAGTTTTAGGCCAACCTGGTCTACATATTGGAGTTCCAGACCATCCAGGGTCACATGGAGAAATCTTGTCTCAAACAAACAAAAATCCAGAACACCAAACAAAAAACCCAAACCCCACTTAAGTAATATACAGCTGCAGATTTGACAGGACACTTCTTATAGGTGCTCTTAAAAACCTCCATGAAAATTAAATACTAACATTAGTTAAAATCAGGGATTAGTTAAAGATGTGAATGGTCTTCAGAAGCAATGTAGATGAATAAACCTTTTATAAAAACCAACTTTGTTAAGCAGGTCCAAATGACTTAAAATAATACTTATTATTATCTGCTTGTCAAGAAAGGTTTGCAAATAAAATAACCAATTATTTGCAAGGGTACAGTGAATTGGCACTTTCTTGAGCCTCAGACAGAAACTCATGATGGAAAATCATTTACACATATTTATCAATAATCACTAAACTAAATGATTAACAAGTGAAGGATGGTATGTTTGCTGGTATATCCATATTTTGTAGTCATCAGAAATGTCCTCAAAAGCTAATAATAGAGGAAATGCCTTTTGAGTAATGTGTAAAAAATACCAGTCACTTGCTTATTTGTTTTTGAGACAGGGTCTTGCCATGTAGCTTAAGTTTCCCCCCAACTGGAAATCTTCCTGCTTCCTACTACTGAATCAATAGTAAGGTTACAAGTATTCACCACCAAGTTGTGGTGGTGGGAGGGGAGCTTTCTGAATAAACGTTAAATGAAGTTTTGAAGCTTTTCATGTAGTCAGTTAGGGTTGAGGGTGGATAGACTGAAAACCTGTAGCTGTAAGGGATATGATGTGAAGAAAACCCAGTTCTAGTGACATAAGCTTGGCTTCTTACTAAGGTAAAATCTTGCTTTCCTTAAGTTTAGGGAGAAAATGAGGAATATTCCGAGATACAAGCATGAAATGTATTACAGCTAGAGAGCACATTTTTATAAGAGAATTGACCAAGTGGAACATTGAGTTTATTAATAAGAGACAAGTATGTAAATGAGCTCCAGTGAAGGGCTTTTAATGTCAACTTCCTAGAGAGTTCTGCTCTTGCCTTCCAGGTGGAGGGGCCTCTCTTCCTCATCTGCTTCAAAATTCTCTTTTCTAGGATCTTGTTATGATGTTTTGCTCTGGAACCAGGATATGTTTTATACCTTGTAACTGTCTTCTGATCATATGATCACTTTTTTTTTCTCTCACAATTTCTCATTGGTTAGTAATCTCTTTGTGTGCTAACATGTTCCAGTGTAATAGCAGTTCTTACCAAACAGGGACACAGACTTCTTTCAATTCATTTCATAGTTTAGATTACCAAAGCTAACACAGGATATAGCATATGACCAGTATAAACACAGAAAATACAATAAGCCTCTTCAGCTAAATAAAGCTACTAAAAAGCTTACCTGTGAGGATCAGATATCTGCCAATTATTTGGTATATTAATCCCAATATTGTATTATGTGGACTTTAAATACCCTAATTGGGGATGTTTCTGATTATTAAGTATACAGCTATACCTTGTAGTTTCTTACAAGCATCCTCTGAATAAATGCTTCCTCTTCCAGAAATCAGCCTTTTATTTAGACTTGCCCTTAAGCACATACTACTTCTTGAAGTCAGGCTTTAAGACAATAATGTTCCTTAGCCAGATGTAGTGATGCACGCCTTTAATCCCAGCACTTGAGAGGCAGGGGCAGGCAGATCTCTGAATTTGAGGGCAGTCTGGTCTACATAGTATGTTCTAGAACAGCTAGAGCTATATAGTGAGACCCTGTCTTTGAAAAGAAAAGAAAAAGTACCCTGAATGAAAGGGAAAATTATCAACTTTTCAGCCCTGTCTTCTCCATAATCTGCCTCTTTCAAGATGACTGAAAGTTAAAATATCCAATAAGAACAGATGCTGCTTGCTACCTAGTAGCAGCATCTTAAACCCCAATGCAGGAATCTGGCATCATGATCTCATTTAGTCAGCTATGATGACAGCATGTGAAAGACCAATTATCCAATTCAGATTTACGTTGACCCAGCATTGCCTTTTTTTTTTTTTTTTTTTTTTTTTTTTTTTTTTAATACTAATGCACGAGTTATTCTGGCTACTTGTAAATTCTATTCCACAGATGAAGAAAGGCTTTTATTATTTTATTAGGGGTGAGAAGACACACACACACACACACACACACACACACACACACACACACATATCCCACCACCACCACCACACAGAAAGACTTGCAAAACAGAGGGATGAAATCCTTATTTTTCCTGATAGCCTTTTACTTTAGATTTGTATAGTTAAATAGAGAAATTAACTATATGGATGCTTCTCAAAGAAAAGCACACAGAAGTATGTTTAAAGACACAAAGGATAATTACATAACTGAATCACTATCAGCTTGTTGTCTGCCTTATGGGTGTATGGTCAATTATTGTAGTTGCTCAACATCATTCAGTACAAGACACTAGGTGATTTGCTTCCTTCTTTGCTCGCCAACCATTTCCATTCCACAAAAGAGGCATTCACATAAACGGTTACATAAGTGGTGTATTGCAGTTATTGGGCAGAGATTGTCTCAGATCTCTTCATAGCAAGCCAGAAACCACATTACTAATTAGAACAGGGGCATTTTAGCACTGGGAATCACTAAATTGGTTAGTATCGCTTAATACTAGAAGGAAATTCTAAAGTAGCTATTGCAGGGAACAGCTACCAC